CCCTCCGCCACCGACGCCGCCTCCTCCGCCTCCACTGCTGCCACCGACACCTCCACCCCCGCCACCACTCCCACCACCACCCCCACCCCCTCCACTGCCTCCACCACCACCTCCACCGCCCCCGCCAGCCCCTCCAACGCCCTTGCCCCCCTTGCCCTTGCCGGTGCGGCGTCTCCCGCTAGGGGCAGACGCAGCGCCGACCGACTCGAAGCCAACGAGGTCGGCTGCAGCAGCAGAAGCAACAGAGGGCAAGAGGGGGGAGGAAGAACACCCCTCAAAGACGGGGGTGCGAGGGTCACCAGGAGAGGCTCCTACAGCGACTATGCTCTTCTCTGCTGCTAGGAGGCGCTCCTCGAGGAGGTCAATGGTGAGTGTGGTGGGGCAAACTGAGAGGAAGTGGTCCCTGACTAAGCGAAGGGAGTCAGGGAGCCGGATGACTATGTAGTAGAGGGTGATGTACATGGGGGGGGGGGGTTCTTGGCACAGAACTCAGCAGGAAGTGCAGCGCGGTAGCGAGTGTCGCTAGTGCGAAGGTGCGTAATGAGGTCAGCGACTGTGGGAAAGGCAGCAAGGTCAGGGAACAGGTACGGTAGCATGAGGCGGCTAAGCGCAGCAGTGGCAGGGGAAGAGTAGCGTGCAACTACAGCGTCGTACAAGGTCTTAGCACTCTTGTACTGGCTAAAGTGCGCACGCTTAGTGGTCGGTAAGTGGCGACGCATAGCAAGACGGGCAGCAGCATCGCGCGTGGCCCACTGTGAGCGAACAGTGCTGTCAGCAGTAGCAGGCGGGGCAGGAGAGGCACCAGAGGTGAGATCGAACAGGGAGAGTCCGTCTGCCCTATCGCACTGTAGGAACAGCTGGAGGTCTTTTACCGAGACCTCAAAGTCAACAGCACGACCCTCAGTATCAAAGGTAAGGACACTGGGGGTAGCCATGACTACAGTGGCCTAGTAGGGAGTGATCTCACCAGTCCAAGTAAGTAGGGCCGGGGCGCGCCGGTAGTTACAGTAGCGGCTCGACGGCAGGGCGGCTCGGCGGCTCGGCTGCTGGGCGGCACGGCGGCTCGGCGGCTCGGCGGTTGGGCGGCTCGGCGGCTCGGCTGTTGGGCGGCTCGGCTGCTGGGCGGCTCGGCTGCTGGGCGGCTCGGCGGCTCGGTTGCTGGGCGGCGCGGCGGCTCGGCTGCTGGGCGGCTCGGCGGCTCGGCTGTTGGGCGCCTCGGCTGCTGGGCGGCTGGCGGCGTGGTGGCTTGGCTGCTCAGCTGCTGGGCGGCTCAGCGGTGAAGGGGCCGGTAGAGGCGGCGACGGGGCCGGTAGAGACGGCGACGGGGCCGGTAGAGGCGGCAATGGGGCCGCGAAGAGCGGCGACGTGGCCGCTAGGGGCGGCGACGGGGCCGCTAGGGGCGGCGACGGGGCCGCTAAGGGCGGCGAGGTGGCCGCGAAGGGCGGCGACGAGGCCTCCAGGGGCGGCGACGGGGCCGCTAGGGGCGGCGATGGGGTCGTAGAGGGGCCAAGAGGGGCGGCGCCGAGGTCGCGAAGGGGCCGTAAGGGGCCTAGAGGGGGCGGCGACGGGGCCGCAAGGGGCGGCGACGGGGCCGCGAAGGGGCCGCGAGGGGCCGCAAGGGGCGGCGACGGGGCCTAGAGCGGCGGCGACGGCGCCGCGAAGGGGCCGCGAGGGGCCTAGAGGGGCGGCGACGGGGCCGCTAGGGGCGGCAACGGGGCCGCGAAGGGGTCGCGAGGGGCTTAGAGGGGTGGCGACGGGGCCTAGAGCGACGGCAACGGGGCCGTGAAGGGGCCGCGAGGGGCCTAGAGGGGCGGCGACGGGGCCGCAAAGGACGGCAACGAGGGGCCTCTAAGAGGGCGCGACGTGAGGGCGGCCTACGGGGCGCGCCTCGTGCAGGAAAAAAAAGATCGAGTTAGGTGGTGGGCCCTGAGAAGCGTTCCCACGAGGGAATCTGCTCTATACCATGTGAAGAATGAGGAATGAATGAACTAGGAAAGAGGTGGGTACAAGTAGGAAAACCTAGAAATGTTGTACCCCATATAGTCTACCCCACTACAGCCTACACAAACTATAGCATATAAGTTTGACACACTTCGGGACCAGGCTACATTTCAGCTCGTCGTACCACCCCGAGATCGACGGTCAAACGGAGCAGACGAATCAGACGATGGAGCAGTTGATTCGTGCCACGTGCGACGATCCGACAACTTGGGAGCAGCAGCTGCTACTGATTGAGTTCGCGCACAACAATGCCACGTCAGCAACGACGCAGCAGTCCCCCGTTCTACCTAAACTACGGGCAAAATCCCGCAGTGCCCATGACGCCGAGTCCGGACAACCCAACGCTACGCGCACAACGATTCGCCGAGATCCTGCAAGCTGCCCGCACCAGAGCCGCCGAAGCAATTAAAAAAGCAAATGTCATCGCTAAGCGCAACGCTGACCGCCACCGCCGCCCGGTCACGTATCAGTCAGGAGACTATGTATTGCTCGACGCACAGAACCTAGGACTGCCCGTCGTCCCGAAATCACGACCGCGTTACTGTGGGCCATTCCAAATCAACCAGATGATCACCCCAGTGACAGCACATTTACTGTTGCCGACAGACTGGTACATCAACCCTTCATTCCACGTCAGCCTGCTTCGCCCATACATCCCAACCACAAGCCAACTGCCTCGTCACCGCCCGCCATCCATGACTCGCCCTGCATCGGAGCCGACCATCGAGCCCAAAAAAATCCTGAGCCATCGAATTCGACACCCCACGGGAATCAAGAGGATTGAATTCCTCGTTCGCTGGAATGACCGCACACCAACTGAGGATAGCTGGGTGCCCGTAGCCAACATTGAAAATCACCCTGCCCTGCAAGAGTACCTAAGGAGCCGGGGTCTCCGCGATATACACGCACTCGCGTAGCGGAGGGGGCTTCTTAGGGGGGGGGGGGGGGGGGGGGGGGGGAGGGGTAGTATAAGGAATTTTCTCGTCATTCCTTAGCGCGCCCTGCAACATCGCGTACAGCAGCAGCCGTTGTTCGCCCGTTACTGCTAACGGGGCTTCACCGGCTTCGCGCGCAATGTTTCACCAAACCTCGCACTGCTGGCCCGGCCGTGTTGGCCTGCGCGTCGGGACTAGCCCGAACCTCGATGCCAGCATAGCACTAGCTAGCGCGCACGCACCGCGTTACCGTTTGCATGTTTCGCGTATAAATGTTCGCTCATGCCTTCGCTCACATTTTGTACTCGTTTGACACTTAGTGCAATCCTCGCTACCTAGATTCATTGCACCCGTAACACTGGGACTAATAGGGCCTCCACATAAGGGAATCAAACTTTGCAAGAAACCAAATTGTAACGTGAAAATTACGGAGTGTACCAACATTGTAGTTGTTAACCCTTGAACCGAGAGCCCACACCAACTCCTCAACCGACACCACGAAATCTGCTTTGGCACTTGGCGCCGAGTGACGAACCGATCCATGGTCGTCGTCACCAGCGGCTGTGTGGAGTGGAGAGGCGCATCGTACAGCGTACTTCGCACCTGTCGCCCGTGAGGCGATCATGAAAAAACCCCCGTGACCAGCGCTGTCAGAGGGCAGACGCGAGGAGGACACATCATCGCGATTCGCGAATGTGAACGAGACTGAGGTCGGGGCGCGTGCGACCTGGAAGTCTGACACATGAGAATCAACCACGATTTAACGCCTAAACATGTTCTAAACCCTTCTTTAACCATCTGACTACTAGTTTTATCCTTAGACCTCTCTGCCCCAGAAACACCGCGTCTTGAGCCAATTCGTCAGAACGGGCCTTTTGCAACACAAACCGCCTCCCCCGTATAGTATGTTCCCTCCCCCACTCTTCCTCTCCTTCCTCCCCCTTCCCTCCCCCCATCCCCTTTCACCCCACCCCTTCTACCTCAACCTGCTGGGGCTGGGAAGGTCTCTCCCCCTTCACCCCAAGCCAAGCACCCCGCAATGCCTCCGTGTTTCGCTTTCCGCCCTCGGAATGTTCCCGCGTGTGGTATTTTCCGCCGTCCGATTTTTTCTCATCCGACAACACCGAAGTTCGCGCTTGTCTGTGGCGGGGGAGGGTCAAGTTGAACCAGCTTGTAACAGGGAGCAGAGAGACATGTCACCAGAATAAGAGGCGACAAGACGAGACATTATTCAGTGAAACATTAAGCTCGATAGTGGAGCGTGCGCGACCGACCAGAAGCATGGACCTTCACCTCGTCAGAACTTTCTTGTCAGAATGTACAATACAGTCAAGCAAAGCCAGCATGGCCGTCAGTGACGCAGGTATATTGTAGTGATAGAATACGTGTTTTCTCTCTTACTAGACCAGTTCATCGCGTCGAGAGTTGTGATGTGACAAGGCAAAGCTAGCCAGCCGAGGAGAAGCGTGCCGTATTTCGTCACCGGATACTCGTACTCAGGGAAGGAAGCACCTCCAGCAAGCAGCGGCCCCTTGTCTCACCGTCACATTCTCTCAGCGTCTTAACGTCCCAGCTTCTCAGCGTCTCAGCGTCTCAGCGCTGAATCGACTCGATCCACGCAGAACCAGCGCGAGTTTCTTCTTCTCGCCTCCGCGTCTCACCGGCATACGCGTGTTGTTCCCCGAAACAGCCTTCTGCTTGGAAAAATAAAACTCAGATCGATTTAGGAGCTTTTCTGGCGCCGACTCGCGACCTTACCCTTCTATGCCTAAGCGCCGCCCGTCGCATTCTGCCACCACCACCCTTACTCGCTTCGCTACTAGCCGCACCGCTAAGAGTTAGTTTCTCAAAAGATTCGTTGCACATGCATGAGTCCCTTTGTAGCTCTAGATCTTCCTCTACGCAACCCCGCTCGTCAGAATGGCCCCGCGAGTACAAGACGCATTCTCGTCGTTAGAAGCCATGCCATCGTCGCCGAAGCGCGGAAGCGATAGGAATGTTGCACTGGCGGCGACGGCCGGCGACGGCCCCGGCGAGGCTGCGAAGAACGCTGCGAAGTTCGCCATGCCGAAAGCGGGTTCCGATAGGTGTACAGTGGACACCGTGGTGTCGCTTTTATCGAGACGGCTCTTTATCGGGGCACTCGCGCTGACGGTCGCGTCGCTGGTCGCGCTCGGCATGTTCCAGGTGAGGCGCCGCCGCAATTGCACACGCCACGGCCGCAATTTCACACGCTGTCGCCGCATTGCAGTTCGGAAACTAACCTCTCGAGCAGAGATACGAACAGCAGGCAGTGCGTATCATAGCTGGTCACGTTCGACATGTAGCTCCTTATAGCGGCGCGCTCTGCATTGCACGCTGTCGCTGGAGTGGTCGCTGTCGTCGCAGTGGTCGTTGTTTCCGCGGCTCCGCAGCAGTGCCCGCGTCGCACTCATCGCACGCGTCGCACTCATCGCACGCGTCGCACTTCGCATCGCATCGTATGCGTCGCACTTTCCGCATTGGGCACGGGAGTAGTAGCTCAAAGACTGTAATCACGTTGGTCCCCCACTACGCAATCACGCGCACTCGCACGCGTCACACGCGTCACCGCACGCGTCGCACTCCGCGGACTCGCAAGCGCGCCACAAGGAAGTTTCTTGTCATGCGCACTGCTGCTATAATCCCCGCTTCCCCCTTTCCAGTCCCCCTTCTCCTCTCTCCCATTCACCCCCTTCCCCTCCTTTCCCTTCCCTCCCCCTCCCCTCTTCCCCTCCCCCTCCCTCCCTCCCTCTTCCTACCTGCTGTTCGTTTCTGGTTCCCCTCTACCTCCTTATTCAACTCCTCTTCCGCCCCCGCGCTTGCCCCTCGCTGCGTGCCGTTCCGTTCCGCTTCGCTGCGCATCGTTCGTTCGTTTCCGCTGCGTGCTGTTTCAATGCCCGGCGTGCGTGCAGGGTGGGCGGGAGGCAGAAGTGCTTGGAACGAACCGGATCTTAGCGAAGGGCGGGGACCGGAGAGTCAACGGCAGCGTGAAAACCACCAGGTAGTTCGGCGCAAGGTAGCGCAAGGTAGTTCGGCGGAAGGTAGTTCGGCGCAAGGTAGCGCAAGGTAGTTCGGCGGAAGGTAGTTCAGCGCAAGGTAGCGCAAGGTAGTTCGGCGGAAGGTAGTTCGGCGCAAGGTGGTTCGGCGCAAGGTGGTTCGGCGCAAGGTGCGTTTGCAGTGAGCATTTTCTCTGAATCACCTACCGTGCCCCACCCATTCCTCTCTCTTCCTCGAACCCGATCCCCCCACCCGTACTCTTCCACCCTGCCCCCCCGCCTCCCGTGCCCCATCCTCCCGTTCCCCCCTCCCCCTCTCTTTGGCTCTAGCTCGTTCCGCTCTCCGTTTCTCGCCTCTCTCTCAACGCACGCACACGCGCAGACGCACATGCGCAGACGCACACGCGCAGACGCACACGCGCAGACGCACACGCGCAGACGCACACGCGCC